GAAGTGCACACATCTCTGCTTTGAGATGCACACATTACAGAGCATGGGCTAGATTTCAGTTACTACTTACTTGCTCCTGTGACTACAGCTCTTTTTCAGTTCCTAATCTGCCAAACCACATGGAGAGGACTTGCATGGAGTAAGCACTATAAAAACTAAATTTTCCTTTGGCCAAAAGTTAATCTTGTGCTCGTGCAGATAAGCATGATATTATTTAGTGGAAAGACTGTAAGGATTGTATGTGTAGATAAAGACTGTCAATAAGATCTATGGAGAGGGCTGGGGATTTAGCTCAGCAGTTCAGTGGCCTGCCTTGCAAGCGCAAGGACCCGAGTTCAATCCCAGGTACCAAAAAAAAAAAAAAAGATCTATGAAGAGAATAAGAGAGTCAAGTTTATCTCACTGACTCTTCCAAATATGTCTAATAAGGGTATAGAATTCTCGTAGTTCCTCTCCTAAGCTCAAACTCCTACAAAAATCGTGGCATGCTTTGGGCAACCACAACTGTGTTAAGTATTTTCTCTATGTATCAGTTTCTTCATCTGGAAAATAGTGCCTACATGTGGAACTGTAGGAAGAATTAAAATGTTAATGCATGCAAAGGTTAAACTGGTTCTGGCATTTCATATTTATTTCAGAAGATATGAGCAAGTTTTATTAGTTGCATAATTTATGTATTAATGACAAAGTTACAGGTGGATGGAGCTGTACAGTCATCTTGGAAATATTTATCCAGAAAATCTTTTTCAAGCTGGGCCTTGGAAAATGTATAGAATTTCAATGGCAGAGAAAACAAAGGGAAGGCATTCTAGATACTGGGAATAAAGGTGAAACAATAAAGCAATAATTCAGAATGATGGGAAAACCTATAAGCCCAGCATTCAGGGAGACTGAGGTAGGGAGATCACAAGTTTGAACCCAGCTTGATCAAAGTAAAAAGGGAAGAGGATTTAAATCAGTATGAAGACCCTGGTTTCAATCCCTGGAACCATGAGGAAAGAAAAAAACGGTTAACAGACCCATTTAGCAGAAGCCAAACAGAATGTGCAAGGAAAGGACAGAAGTTTAAATTGAGGGCACATAATAAAGAGTACAGACGTAATTCTTATCTCTCTGATCACCAATGAAAGTCAAAATATTTTACTTGTAACTCTTGGAAATTTGGCTTAGGTCTTCCTGCTCTAGGAAATGTGTTTGCTCAAGTCTTCTAACACAGTGCTTCTAAAACCTTAAAGTATAAACCAGTCTTCCTAAAATGAAGATTTTGATGGAGTAAGTCTGAAGTAAGGCCTGAGATCCTACATTTTTAACAAACTTCCACAGGGTCCTCGTGTCTGATCTATGGACCACACTTTGAGTTCCAAGAATGGCCTCTTCTCACCTCTACCTTTACATCATCTGCAGTGCTGGGCCTTGCTGATCTTCCTAAAACTCTCACTAGCATATTCCATTACTCACCTGAATCTTATGCTATTACTTGATAATTTCAATGAAAGCAATGAACGTTAGGGAGATACACAAAGTAAAACAAAGTGATTATAAAGTTGTAATGGGGCTGTGCCTCCAAGATAGCAGGTGATAGTGTGGCACTCTAAAGGAAGACACAGCAAGCAGCCTGGGGACTTGAGAAAATAAGTCAGTGGCCTGATAGCTCAGTGATCAGGTATGTGGTACAGATAAGATAATGAGCTCTAGGAAGCATTCTGAGCGAGACTGGCAGACTTAGAGGGACAGGGAGGCAGGAGACGGGCCCTGGAGTTGACACTATGGAAGAGAATTCAGTGTTGACAGGACTTGGTGGTGACCTCATGAGGAGGCTGAAAGCCACTCATGGCCAAAGGGAGAGTTTGGGGGGAATGACCATTTGAATGGGACTTAAAGGCTAATATGGCCCATTCTATAAGAATCCAGTACATAGTGACTTGTCATGACTTTATTCCTCACAACAGACAAAGCTATCACTGTAGCAAATCCATATATAATAGCTACAGCTATT